CCCCGTCTCTACTAAAACTACAAAAAATTAGCTGGGCATGGTGGCGCATGCCTGTAATCCCAGCTACTCAGGAGGCTGAGGCAGGAGAATTGCCTGAACCCAGGAGGCGGAGGTTGCGGTGAGCCGAGATCGCGCCATTGCACGCCAGCCTGGGTAACAAGAGCGAAACTCCGTCTCAAAAAACAAAAACAAAAACAAAAAAAAAAACTCCAATAGAAACCTAATGAAATCTCGTCGTTAGGTTTCCCTCTGAAATGCAGAGGGAAGTTGACTCAGAATGACCAGCAGAGACCACCAGGAAAGGTCCAGGAGGGTCCCAGTCCTCCTTGGCAGTTGGAGTAATCTTTTGCCGTAATTCCTATGAACCGCAGCACAAGACCTTCAGGAGGCTGGACCTCTGGCCAGCTGCACATCTGTGATCCCCGGTCTCCAGGTGAGGTCCCGACCCTGGTCTTGACAATCTCAGAACTCTCTTACTTTTTCTGCTTCTCACAAAATGCATCTTCCTTCCACACTTTTCACAGCCCCTGGTCAGCCCCTTCCCCTCTCTCCTTTCTCCTGTCTCCACCAGGAGTAACTCAGCCCTCTCTTCAGAGCCTAGCACAAACACTGTCCCCTCCAAAGTCTTCCTCGTTCCTGCACTGATGACGCCCCTCTCCCACATGCGTCCGTGGCAGCACGGTCACTAGGTCTGGCAGCCTGGGGTGGCCTAGGAACTGTGCTAGGCCAGACAAGCCTCTCTGGGAGCAGGCACTTCCATCCACAACCCCTAGCAGAAGGCGGGGGCCAGAGAAGGCCCAAGGACAACCTACCCTGAAATGAACTGGCCTCAGGTCTTTCTCTCAACAGCAGAGAACTCAAATCAAGAGTCATTTCACTCCCAGCGGTTTGGGCTGTGGAAAGCAGCTCATGGGATGACAGGTAACTTTTTCCTTTTTTAAAAAACGGAATTTGCTTTTGTTTGAAGCAGTGACGAGGTCTCGCCATTTTGCCCAGGCTTGTTTCAAGCTCCTGGGCCCAAGCGATCCTCCTGCTTCAGCCCCCAAAATGCAGGGATCACAGGCGTGAGCCACTGTGCCGGGCTCACAGATGATATTTCAATCCAGTTTATTTTACTTTTCCGTGATTTCCAAGTTTTGACAATGAACGTCGAATATTCTTATAATCAAAGAGCCCAGTACAACTGGATCAAATAAATTATCCAAGTTTCCCAACAGTACATTCTGATGAGACACTCATTATACAAGAAGTTCCTGAGGCATGCTGCACGGATGAACCCAAGATATTTCTGGAGCAGCAGGTGTACAGGATGGCGACTCATGGTCACTGGGCAAGGCTCTGGGCGCTCAAGATCAGTGAGAAAAACACCCACGAAATGGGGCACCTGCACTCAAGCGTCCTGCCCCTGAGAAAAACACCCCGGCTTCTGGTCAGAGGGCCCAGGAATCAATACCCCACCTGCTACCCTCTTGCCGGCTGGAACTCACTGAACCTCTGTGAGCCTGTAAAACACTGGGACCATATTCTTTCCCACAGACGAGCTTCAAAAATTTAAGAAGCAATGCATTTAGGTACTAAGAGTCAGATATATAGTAAACCCTCAATAAAGCCTACAAATAAGCCCTTCTGTGCTTCAACCACAGCCTGTAAATGTCACATTGCCTCGTGGGTACGCTGCAGGGGTGCAGCCCACAGAAACATCCCATATTCAACCCGGGAAACATAAGCAACTTCCACAATCAAAGCCACAGACCTCCCTGGCAGCTCTCTAAAAATCTACTTTCCCTAATTCAGCCGCCAAGCTAACCTGGTACCTGGGTTATGACCGCAAGCCCTGCCCTCTGTACAGGACTCCCAGAACACCCGCCCACCTCACCTTACACCCAAGGATTCGCATCTGGGCTCCAAAGGTGCCGCAGGCTAATGAAGCCCGGGGTCTCATATGCACGACAGCCATTGAATCTTTGGAGACTCTATTCCCAGGACAGGCAAACCCAGGGACTCAGAAAGCAACTCCCCGAGATTTCTAGGAACACACAAAGAGATAAGGTCTGCGTCAAGATTGATCTACTCACACCCACCGGCCCCCCACCTGCCCTCCTCGCCGGTCTGAGCTTGATCAGGGTTGGGGGGAAACTTGACTGCGTCCTCGAAACGCCCCCACACAGCCAGCCTGCTACCTTTGAAGCAACCGAAGTGGACGCTTCTGGTTAAATTTAAACTCGGGGCTCATTAGAAATGACACATTTTACAGCTCAGCGCGGCTCACCTTCCGAGCGCCGAGCCCAAGCCGGGCACGGATCTCCGCAGCCGCCGCAGCACGCGGCCCGGGCGGTTCTTCCCCTGCCCGGGGCTCGAGCCATTTTCGGAAGTTCCCGGGGACCGCGGAGCAGCTCGCGCACCCGACCCCGGGTCACAAGGCCCCGCCCGGCCCGGCCCCCGGCGCCCCCGCAGCGGCCGCTTCCCCCGCGCCCGGCCGGGAATGGGCCTGGAGGAGACGCTGCCAGGCGCCCCGGCGAGGCCTCGGTGGCCTCACCCCGCCCCGGCGCACGCAGGGCCGCGCATCCCGGGGGGCTCGCGCTCGGCCGGGGAGCGGCGGAGCCCGCGGGCCCGGCCCGGCCGGAGGGAGCCGCCCCGCGCCCGCTCCTCACCTGCTTTCTCGATCTTGCCGGACATTTCCGGGCTGCGCCGGAGGCCGAGGCCGCCACTCATCGGGCCCGGGCCGGGCCGCCGCGGGGCGACAGGGGCGGCGCGCCCGCCGCTCGCCTCGGCCCTGGCTCGCCACGCCTCAGACCCGCGCCGGCATGGCGGGCTCCGCGCGGCCGCGGCCCTGCGCTCGGCGACCGGG